CCCCCCCCGCGCGGCAGCGCCAGCCGCCGCCGCCGCCGCCCTCCTCCTCCTCCTCCTCCTCCTCCTCCACCTCCACCGGTGCTGCCTCCGGGTTCTTCAGCTCCTTCAGCTCCATCACCAATGTGGTCAAACAGACAGCGGCCTCTGCTGCTGGCTTCGTGGAGCAGTCGGCTCCGTCACCCTCGCTCTCCAAGAAGTTCAAGATCCTGCTGGTGGTCGACGAGCCTCAGCACGAATGGTAAGACACGGGAGGAGCTGCTGATTGGTTGAGTGTTGAGGACTTGTGTGTGTGTGTGTGTCAGTCAGACTGGTGTGTTGCTGTCTTGGCTGTTACTGTGAAGAAGCCACAGATCTCCAGTGTGTCCCACAGGGGGCGTCCTTCTGTGGACACGTCCTCTCCAGGTCAACATTCACCTCAGTGGGTTCAGCTCCACATATTAAATCACAAAAACACCGTCAGCTGTCGTGTTTGACACTGGCTGTCATCACGCCCCGCCTGAGAGAGAGAGAGAGAGAGAGAGAACATGTAAGTGTTAGTGTGTGTTTTCAGAGTACAACTCACACACTCCTACCTTAGCATGTGGCTCTGAATGAAACATCTCCTCCTCCACATGAGGAACATCAGCCTCCAGCTCTGGATGATGACATCATCAGTCCTGATTGATGATGACATCATCATGATGACATCATCAGTCCTGATTTGACATCATCAGTCCTGATTGATGATGACATCATCAGTCCTGATTGATGATGACATCATCAGTCCTGATTGATCAGATTTTCTTTTCTCTGCTCTTTGTTCCAATGTCTGGTCGCTGTGGTCCCTGTTACTGTTGTTGTTACTGTTGTTGTTACTGTTGTTGTTACTGTTGTTGTTACTGTTGTTGTTTCTGTAACAGCCAACACTGATGGTACATCCCATAATGTGCTGAAATTTGTTCTGTTGAGGTTTAGACATTTGGTCTGTACCTGTTGATCCAGGGTTTAAGGAAGTGTAGACCTGAACCAACCCTGAACTGCCCCCCTGAACTGCCCCCCTGAACTGCCCTCCTGAACTGCCCCCCTGAACTGCCCTCCTGGACTGATGATGGCTGGAAAATCTGAAATGTTGAGAAGAAGCCTTGCTTCAAATTGTCAAAGAAAGTTGATTCAGTCACATGACTTTGGCTCAGTCACATGACTTTGGTCCTAGTCGTCCAGTCTGAATATTTCTCAGCGTGGACACAGATGAAGCTGTTTTACAGCAGCTTGAGCTCCAGGTGGACGGTGATGATGAGAAGAGACGTGAAGTTTCAGCAGCTCTGGTCAAAGGTCTCATCTACACACTGTGTTCACTGGGACAGACGACAACGACAGACGACGACAGACGACGACAGACGACGACAGACTGAAGAGCTGCAACTCATTTTAATCCTGTTGGTTTGTTTTACTGAGGTTCAGCCACCGTGTGGCGTTTGTCTGTATGACAGGAGGACACAGGGAGAGCAGGTGGGGGGGGCGGAGCTCTGTGCACATCCATCAACATCTCTCTCTCACACACACACACACACACACACACTGTCCTTTATTTCATCATAAACATTGAACTGTGCTGAGTGGAGCTAACACACGGCTAACACACAGCTAACACACGGCTAACACACGGCTAACACATGGCTAACACACGGCTAACTGTCACATGACCAGGTGTACAGGCTTGACTCAGTGGACCAGGAAGCTGAAGGCCAACTGTGGTACCAGCTGTGTAGGTCTGACTAAGAACCAGCAGTTCTGACAGCTGTCATTTCTAATCCCAGACTCAGATTAGCCTTTTAGTTCATCAGGAGTTTGACCGCGCCACGTCGTAGTTCTGATGTCACTCAGGTTTAGTCCTTTAAAGGTTTGATCCTTTAACCATTCTCTGAGTTTGTGCTGGGATTTCTAGATTTCAAAGCTAAAACGTCTCCAACATCAGAATACAGTGTGCAGTGTCGGGTACTTTGATTAGGAGTATTAGTATTACTGAGTATCTGCTCCACTCTGGGCTGCAGTTGTCAGTGCACTTGGTCCACATTACAGATCAATAATGGTGTCAAATATCAAAGGTGCAACGTTAGCACGTGCTGCGGCTAACAGGTCCACGCTAATCTCATCTTTCTTCATCTTGACCTTTGGTCTGATTGTGCGTCCGTCTGTTGTTGCACGAGGAGACCGCTCCAGTCATCTTCAATCAAACGGCCTCTCCGTTATACGAGGCCCTCTGCTGGAGGCAGGCTCGGCGGCTGTTATTGTCGTTCAGTTCGGTGTAGCCAGACTGCGAAGACGGTGAAGTGACGACCACAGAGGTAAATCTGCTGCTGACAGAAAGACCGTACACCGCAGGCGGTGCCACACGTCCCTGTCCACGACTGTGTTTGTGGTGTAGTCGTACGGCTGTTAGTCAGGCTGTGGAGAAAGAGCCGGCTGTTGCTACGGTAACACATAACCTCAATAATCTTGAATGTGTACGTTGTGATTGGATTGTTGTGAAAAACCCACATTTAGTTTCTATGCAGATGATGCACAGCTGTACATTTATAACATGTGTTAATAATCATTTGAATTCTACACAGTGTCACCTCATCATAATGGTTAGCTGTACGCTACACCTGTCTTTACCCTTAATTCTTAATATATATATATATATATAAATATACTGTATGTATAAATGTATATATCAATATATACATTTATACATGTATATATATATATGCATGTATACTATTATATAAATGTGTATATGTATGTATTAGAGCAACGATGAGTGAGTGGACGTTTTAAAAAGTGAAATATTTCATTTTGACATTTTTACTACTCAACTGGAAGCAGACGTCACTGCAAACTCCATGGAAGCAGACGAGCAGCTCCAAGACCAAAACCTGAAGACTTCTCATCTGAATCATGGAAAAAAGGAAGAAAAACTGCCTTTTCTTCCCACCTACATCACAGTCCACAGGTATCAGGAACAGCGGGCGAGTAAAGGTCACTGTGGCCTTGTTGTCCTGTTGTCTTACAGGCTGGATTAGTCAACAGTCAGTCAACAGTCAGTCAAATGAGTCAGTCGGAGTGAGGCTGCTTTGGTGGTGTGTCCTGCTGTTGACACACTAACTGTTTCCATGGTGATTTGAGTGTCGAGGATGTCGTTGTTCCTCCGTACAGCTGCTGATGAGATCCTCCCTGAATC